GAGCCATCTGGGTTCCTTACCAATTCCCCCAAAGATGAGGCGGGAAAGGGGGGCGCTGAAAGACTAGAAATTTGTAACGTGGCTAATGGGACATCACATCCCATACGGGGTAGGGATCATCAGAGACAGCTCAGAGTCTGGAGTTTCTCTAAGTTTACTCTTCTCAGTCAGACCTCTCTGGAGGACCATCAAGCAGCCCCCAAGGAGGAGCGGAGTCGAAGGAGCACTGTTGAGAGTCCCAGGGTCAGGAACCCCAGGCTCCCTTTAGTGGAGACCATGCTGGGCTACTTGAGATTACCCAGCAGCTGGGGTGGGAGTCGCAGTTCCCACCTCCTGATGAATGCCTGGACAGTGTGAAATTAGCTTCAGGTTTAAATCTAAGCAATTTGAAGCTATAGCATTCCATGTCTTTCACATTTTTTCCCTAGGTGTAGGAAGTATGAAAGTTCTTTGAATGTTGTTTTCCAGTACAAAGAAAGCCAAGCAATTTCCTGATCAAAGTTGTCCGTAAGTGAGTCGGGGAGGGGGGGAATGCTTGTAAAAAAGCCAGCCGCTCACCTGGAGAGTTAGACAAGGCACTTCAGCCTCAATAAAGCAGGAAAGATATAGTCAAGATTGACCTGCTGACAAAGCAGGTTGCGACAAGACCTCTCCGTGTCCATCTCCACCCTCCACCCCATACCCTTAGGATAAAATGACTGAGCTCTAGGGAGGCAGAATCCATTCCAGCCCCTGGCCTTGCCGTGGTCCAAAGCCCCAGGCTGATTGCAAAAGTTAAAATTAAAGCTGTTTCCATCAGTGAAAAGCTGAGAAGCTTCACTGACAGAGCTGTCAGCCAGATTCTGTTTATGGCCTAGGGTCCTCTTAGGAGGAGGTCAGGGGATTTTTGAATGACCACAAGTGACTTTGAAGGAAAGCAGCTGCTCTAAGCTCTCTGAGATCAAGTTCCACAAATGTTTGCTCACACTGCTGAGAACTGCGTGTCGTCACTTTTTTTCTGATTAAAAAAGAATCTACACTTATTCCAGCATTGCTGATAATAGCCAAACCCAGAAACAACGCAAATGTCCAAAAACAACAGAATGGTTAAATATACAATGGAATTATTCACACGGTGGAATACTATACAGTAGTGAAAATGAATGAATTACATGTAGGTGTATGAAGGTGGATGAATCTCACAAAAATAATGTTGAACAAAAAAACAGAAAACACAGAAGGGAACACAGAGTATGATTCCACTTACTACATAAAAGCTCAATGGCAGGCAAACTACACTGTTTTGTTCAGGGACACATACATGCATGGGTTAAAAAAAAAAAAAAAGGAACAGCCTCCAGTGGTGACTCCTGCCTGTAGTCCCTGCTACTTGGGAGGCTGAGGTCAGAGGATTGTTTGAGCCCAGAAGTTAAAGACCAGCCTGGGCAAAAAAAAAAAAAAAAAAAAAAAAAAAAAAAAAAAAAAAAAAAAAAAAAAAAAAAAAAAAAAAAAAAAAAAAAAAAAAAAAAAAAAGAAAAAGAAAAAGAAAGTAAAAGAAAAGCAAGGAAATGACTTAGGGGAAAGGGCTGGGAAAGCTTGTGGCATGCTGGTAATGTTATATTTCTTGCTCTGGATGGCTGTTTACTTTATAATTATTTAAGAAATAGTACAATTATATTTTAGACACTTTTTAATATGCATATTTCATAAAACAAGTTTATTTTAAAATTTTATTTAATTTTTTGAGACTGAGTTTTGCTCTTGATGTGCAGGCTGGAGTGCAATGGTGTGATTTTGGCTCACTGCAGCCTCAGCCTCCCAAGTAGCTGAGATTACAGGCACCCTGCCACCATGTCCGGCTAATTTTGTATTTTTCGTAGAGATGGGTTTTTGGCATGTTGGTCATTCTGGTCTCGAACTCCTGACCTCAGGTGATCCACCTGCCTCAGCTTCCCAAAGTGCTGGGACTACAGGTGTGAGCCACCATGCCTAGCCTTAATTTTATTTTTATATGACATGGAGTCTCACTAAGTTGTCTAGGCTGGTCTTAAACTCCTGGCCTCTCAAGTGATCCTCCCATCTTGGCCTCCCAAAAAGCTGGGATGACAGGCCACTGTGCCTTGCCAAAACAATTTTTTAAAAGTTAAATATACAAAGATAATCTTTGCTTTCTATGAATCCAATGCAAGATCAAACCTAATGTACACAAAAAACTACAAAAGATCACTGAAAGAAGTTAAAGAAGAGCTAAATAAATGGAAAGACTTCCTTGGCCCATGGATAAGGAGATCTCATATTATTAATATAGCATTATTCTCAACTTTTGCCTGCAGAGTCAAATCAATCTCTATCAAACTTTTCCATTCCTTTTGCAGAAATGGAAAAACTGATCCTCAAATTGTTAGGGAATTGCAAGGGGCGTCAGATAGCCAAAACAATATAGGAAAAAAAAATTGAAGGGTGGGGGGCTCGGTGGCTCACACCTGTAATCCTAGCACTTTGGGAGGCCAAGGTGGGCAGATCACTTGAAGTCAGTAGTCTGAGACCAGCCTGACCAACATGGTGAAACCCCATCTCTACTAAAAATACAAAAATTATCTGGGTGTGGTGGTGGGAACCTGTAATCCCAGCTACTTGGGAGTCTGAGGCAGGAGAATCGCTTGAACGGAGAGGCAGAGGTTGTAGTGAGCCAAGATTGAGCCACTGCACTTCAGCCTGGATGACAGTGTGAGACTCCATCTCAAAAAAAGAAAGAAAGAAAATTGAATCGACATTTCTCCAAAGAGGATATGCAAATTTCCAATACGTAGGGGAAAAGATGTTCCAGGTCATTATTCATTAGAGAAGTGCAAATCAAAACCACAATGAGGAACAACTTCACACCCACTAGGATGGCTATTATCACAAAGGTAATAAAAAATGTTGGAAGGCTGGGCAAGGTGGCTCACACCTGTAATCCCAGCACTTTGGGAGGCCAAGGCAGGAGTTTGAGACTAGCTTGGGCAATTTAGTGGACCCTCATCTCTAAAAAAAAAAAATTAAAAAAATAAATAATTAGTTGGGGCCAGGCAAGGTGGCTCACGCCTGTAATCCCAGCACTTTGGGAGGCCAAGGCGGGCAGATCACCTGAGGTCAGGAGTTCAAGACCAGCCTGGCCAACATGATGAAACCTCATCTCCACTAAAAATACAAAAATTAGCCAAGGAGTGATGGCACATGACTGTAATCCCAGCTACTTGGAAGGCTGAGGCAGGAGAATCACTTGAACCAGGAGGCAGAGGTTGCAGTGAGCCAAGATCAAGCCACTGTACTCCAACCTGGGCAACAAGAGTGAGACTCAGTCTCAAAAAAAAAAAAAAAAAAAAAAAAAATTAGTGGGGTATGGTGGCATGCAACTGAAGTCCTAACTACTGGGGAGGCCAAGGTGGGAGGATTGCTTGAGCCCAGGAATTTGAATTGGTTGTGCCTGCATTCCAGCCTCCGTAACAGAGACCCTGTCTCTTAAAAAAAAAAAAAAAGGTTAGAAGAATGTAGAGAAACTGTGACCCTCATACATTGTGGTGGAAATGTGAAATGAAAGGGTAGTGTCACTTCGGAAAACACCCTGGCAGTTATTCACAAGGTGAAATATAAAGTTGGGTATGGCCCAGCAACTCCATTCCTAGGTATACATATAGGAGAATTGAAAACATACATCCACAAAAATATTTGTATGCAAATTTTCATAGTGGCATTATTGATAATAGCTAAAAAGTGTTAACAACCCAAATGTCCATCAGCTGGTGAATAAGCAAAATGTGGTATATCCATATGGTGGAATAGTACTGGGCAGTAAATGGAACGAAGTACTGCTACATACTGCGATGAACCTTGGAAACATGAGAAATGAAAAAAAAGACAAAGGGCATGTGATTCCATTTATAGGAATAAGCAAATTAACGGTAGAAGAGTGGTTGGCAGGGCTGGAGGGGAGAAGAACTGGGAGCTAACAGCTAAGGGATGAGGATTTCTTTTTGTGCTGAAGACAATGTTGTAGAATTAGATAATGATGGTTGCACAAATTTGTGAACATATGACTGAATTGTTTCATTAAAAGGGCCAGTTTTATGGTATGTGAATTACATCTTAATTAAAAAGTATGAAATTCTTAAACAAGGAAAATCCCCTGTAAATTGGGAATTGGAATTTCATTTTTTAAAAATCATACCTAGTTAGCTATGTTTTTTAAAAAATAGCATGCTCATTTTAAGACAAGTTAGAAACACTGGCTTCCCCAGGTCACCGCCACCAACTTGTGAACACGTCGGGATCGCGGCTTAAGGAATGAAGATCACACCCGAGAATTGTTTCTGTTGCTAGTGGAAAGAATGCCTCTGCCCCACTCCCTCCCACTCAGATCACACACAGAAGCTGGCTGAAAAGGAGGGAAAGTAATATTAGCCCTAAAAATACCAGTCCTTCGTCTCACTGAACGGGATGTCCCAGACACCTGGCAAGAGCAGGGGTGGGCCTGGCGGAACGTGCAGGGACAGGTGCTGGGACCTGGGGGGCCCGGGGGTAGGGCTTAGGGGCTTAGGGGCGTGGCGTGAGGGCCTGGGCGGGGCTCAGGAGCCTGGGGCACCGGGGTGGAGCGTAGACGGCGTAGGGGCGTGGCGGGGGCGGGGCTCAGGGCCCTGGGCACAGGGAAGGGGCGGGGAGCCTGGGCGGGGCTCAGGGCCCGGAACAGGGGTCGGCGGGGTGCGTGGGCGGGGCGGGGCGCGTGGGTGGGGCTCTAGGCCCAGGTCTCAGGTCCCCGTGGACTGGGCATCGGGGCGCGTGGGCGGAGCTTTAAGCCCCGGTCTCAAGGCGGGAGCACAGGGGAGAAGTGAGGCTTGTGAGTGGGATTCAAAGACCGGGGACACAGGGTCTAGGAGGGGCGTGTGGGCGGGGCTTAAATGCCGTGGTACAGGAGCGTGGGCGGGGCGCGGCACGTGGGCGGGACTCAGGGCCGGAGACCCAGATGGGCGGGGAGCGGGGGACGCGGGCGGGGCCGGGCGGGGCCGGGCGGGGCGGGCGCCTGGACGCGAGCCTCGGGCGCCTAGCTGCCCAGACGGCGGCGGTGGTGGCCGCACGCGCGGCCCGTCCTCTGTCCTTGCGGCGCTCCAGTCCCAGCCCCTCGCACCATGCGGCCGCCTGCGCCTCCCACCGTGCTGGTGCCGTCGGAGCGCGCGGTGGTGCTGCTGTCGTGCGCGCTCTCCGCATTCGGCTCTGGCCTGCTGGTGGCCACGCACGCCCTGTGGCCCGACCTGCGCAGCCGGGCACGGCGCCTGCTGCTCTTCCTGTCACTGGCCGACCTGCTCTCGGCCGCCTCCTACTTCTATGGGGTGCTGCAGGACTTCGCGGGCCCGTCGTGGGACTGCGTGCTGCAGGGCGCGCTGTCCACCTTCGCCAACACCAGCTCCTTCTTCTGGACAGTGGCCATTGCGCTCTACCTGTACCTCAGCATCGTCCGCGCCGTGCGCGGGCCCCGCACCGACCGCCTGCTCTGGGTCTTCCACATCGTCAGGTGGGTGGCGGTGGCACTGCTTTTCCTGGGGGACCCCCCCCCCGACCTAGGCCGACCCCACCCGGTCCTGTCCTCTCAGAGGCCACGCCTAGGTTGAACCCCCCTACCCGCCGCGGGCAGTGCCTGCTGGCGCCCCCGGGGCAGCCCTGGGTCAGTGGGAGGAGGCCAGAATTGCCCAAGAGGTGGCCTGGCGGGACCTTCGCTCCCGAGGGCGCCCCTCTGTGCCTGCCCCAGGGCGCAGCCCCTTGGGGTAGTAGGGGCAGAGTTCATCCCCAGAGCCGGGTGCTGATTCCTTGGACGGGGCTGGGGAGGACACGCTGGGTCCCTTGTGACCTGCTTCACTGCGTCCTGGCCATCTCTGCTGCCCATGGGGAAACAGGCTGCATGACGAGTTAGGTAACTGTCCCGCACTGGAGAGGCGGCAACTACCAGTCCCACGCCACCACCCCACCCCAAGCCACAGTGGGCTTGGTGCGTTCCTCCACTCCCAAGCTGCTGTGTCTCTGCTGTTCAATTTACAAAGGACTGTCCTTTTTATTCTGTCGTTGGTCTTCTCTAGCCTCAGGCCCCAGCCTCTTGTATTTCTGTTCTAGGTGATCTTGAGTTTCCAGAGTTCAGCTGTTCTGAGATTGAGGTCAGGGGCGGAGGGTTGGTCTGGGAGTCTGGGAGTCTGCCTGGAGTCTCTCTGAGAGTGAGGAAAAAACCAAGATCTTACCCTGTGGTTTAAGCATTTTCAAGTAAGCCTCGCTGAAGAGGGTGGGCCCTTCCCTGGGGAATGTCAGGTTTTGAGAATCTCGTAGCATCCTGTGCTGAACTGTGGGCAGGAATCCTAGGGCTGCTGTTTTCCTTTTCTCCCTCTCCCAGATCAGAGCATCAGGTACTGCCCTAATTATAGGTCCTTTCTATTAAAAACTTAAGTGCTTTCCAAGGACTGTGAGCACAGTCAGCATTTTGGCAGAGACAGGTCACCTGGGTGTCACACGGCAAGGCTCCAGGGCAGCGAGAGCCACTCGACCTTCAGCTCTGCACTGAGGCCAGCTGGTCCTTGAGAAACCAAGTGACCTGCTTGGCAGCTGGGCAAGTAAAAAGTCTTTGCAACACATCATCCAAACGTGGCTCAGATGCTGCAGGCCCCCACGGAATAGGGCCCTGCCTTTCCTTCCCAGCAGCATGCCATCTGACCCTGTCTGGGTCCCGTGATGGCTGGCTGGGTGTGGGCAGCATGTACACGGGAGATTGTGGGTACTTGAAAGGAGTCAAGGCTGTACCTTTCTTTGCAAGAACCTGTTCTCTTTCCCTCCTTGTCTTTAAAAGTACTGAATACAGTATATTTTTTTAAATGGTAACAGAACCTCATCCAGCTTCTGTGGAAAAGGATTGCCCAACAAACCTGATTTGGGAGTTTTTCTGGTCAGTTCTCATCAGGGACCCTTGAGGGGGTTTTTTGTGTTGTTTAGGAAGAGCTTCTTTGATTAGGAAGTAGGCCCAGTGTGGTGGCTTGCACCTGTAATCCCAACACTTTAGGAGGCCGAAGCAGGAGGATTGCTGGAGCCCAGGAGTTTGAGACCCGCCTGGCCAGTGTAGCGAGACTTTATCTCTACTAAAAATTTAAAAATTAGCTGGGCATGGTGGCGCATGTCTGTAGTTCCAGCTACTTGTGAGGCTGAGGTGGGAAGATGGCCCGAGCCTGGGAGGTCGAAGCTGCAGTGAGCTACGACTGCACCACCATATCCAGCCTGGGTGACAGAGCAAGACCCTGTCTCAAAAGAAAGAAAAAACAAGCAACTTATTCATCGTGTCTGTTGAATGTGACCTGCCTACATCTTAAAAGAAAATAAAATTATCTGTGTCCAAACTAGAGAGGGAGTCTGACAGTTTATTCTCTGGCGTTCTCTCAGCACTCAGACTTTACTAGCCTAAGGGAATCGGTTAAACCTGCCTAACAGGTTCATCTGTTGACCTAGATCTTCCCAGACTGTATTGCCAATGACCTTGCTAAGGACTCTCCACTGTATTTCTTTGGAATATTAGTTTATTGTTGCAGGATCTGTTGATGTGATGAATATCACCTTCGGGCATAGACTACGTGATTATCCACTTTTTAACCATTTCTTTTTTTTTTTTTTTTTTTTTTT